GGCGCAAAGAGAGCCTTTGTCTCACCTCCCAAGCCTGCTTCCCCTGTAGTCTCATTCCTGTTGTCCTGGTCACCCTGGACTCCCATATCCTGTGGGCTCTGTTGTTAAAGACTATCTGGAGCCTGACTGCTTGTCACTACCTTCCGTTTCATGAGTCTTCCTCTGAATCTGCAGTACCAGCTTCCTAATTGCCTCCCACTTCACCATGCCCCTCTGAGCAAAGTTCTCCACTCTGAAACCACAGTGACCTTCTCAAATCATAGTTGGATCTCGCTGCTCCTCTGAGACCTCCATGGCTCCTATCTCACTCCAGGTAAGGCAGCCCTTACTTCTGCTGGGGAGGCCTGTACAATTTGGGCCCCCTAGCCTCTGATTTCCTTCCTTTTCTCTCTCCTTTGGCTGTTTTGATGTCTTGGTTACCCTTGAAATAAGTCACCCAAACCTGTGTTGGGTTCTTACTTCAGTTCCCTGTACTGAGAACCCTTTTCCCCTGGCATAGCATGGCTCCTCCACCTCCTTAAATTGGCTTCTGAGGGAGGCACTGCCCACTCCTTGCTTTATCTTCCTCTATAACTCTTAACACTGGCTCACATATACTTCACTTTTTTTTTTTTTTTTATTCTGATAAGCTCCACAAAGGCAGTGATTTTGTATAATTTGTCACTGTGTCCCAGGGCATGGTATAGTGCTGGACACACAGTCAGTGTTCAATAGATATTTGATGGGTGAATGAAGGAATTCTGTGGCTGGGGAGCAGTGAGCAGTAAGCCCCATATGCGGCTCTCTCCTTGCATTCCTTCCCTAACCCTGTGGCCCTGTGACTTACCTCTCTTACTGATTTTGTGCATTTAGCCAGCCAGTGTTAGTCACAAATATGGCCGGGGAATCGCCCCATCACTGTCATCTACATTCACATTACCCACCCCCTAAGGCAGAGCCTGCCTGAGCCAGCTCTGTGTCTGCCATGGTGCCCAGTCTAGGCTGGAGTCATGAGAACCCAGGGACTGTGGACCATGAACTTCTGGATCCCGAATCCACTTTGCCCTTGGGGACGCACACGTGCCTGGCTCCCTCAGAACCAGAGCCCCACCTCAGTTCCCTTTTGCTCCCCAAGGCACTGAGGACTACCCCCTTGGGACCTGGATCCCTGGCCTCAGTTGCTCCTAAGGGTGCTTTGCATAGCTTCCCACTGCAGAAGCTGCAAGCCTGAATTCTTTAGCCTGATGTTCACATCCAGCTCGCTCCAGCCTCTGTGTGCTCCCTTCCACCTGGCCCTCCAACAGCATCACATGCACCACACTGTCCAGGCATTTTGTGTTGGGGCAGGGGGCAGGGGCACCTCCCAGTTGTCACTGATGGACCTGAACTTGACTGCCTGGCAGCTCTGTGTGTGTGTGTGTGTGTGTGTGTGTGTGTGTGTGTG